GGACCAGGTGGAAGGAGGTAGGTGTGGCTGAGTTTCCTCGGCTTTGGGGACAAAAGAATCATGGGAAGGCAGACAGACAGACAGACAGACAGGAACAGAGGAAAAAGGAGGAAGCCACAATGGGGAAAAGAAACCACATGGGCAGGAAAGAAGGTCTCTGAAAGTGGAGTGGTAAGGAACAATCCAGATGAAGAAGAAGCAAGTATTTATCAGATTATGGATGGGGCTAGAGAGATGGCTAAGTGATTAAATGTACTGTCAGCTCTTGCAAAGAAACCAGGTTTCTCTGAAACCAGGTTCAGTTCCCAGCACCCATATGTCAGCTCACAGCTGTCTGTAATGCCAATTCCAAGAGACCTGACGCCTTCACACCAGTGCCCATAAAATAAAAGAAAACATTAAAACAAACACACAAACAAACAATGACTACAAGGTGATTATGAATGGAAGGTAGCCCAGATAAGAATGGGTAAGGTAGATGGCATTGGATGGGGCTGTGAGGTGGATGGTGGGGTTACTGAGAAAATGTAGGTGGAATTACTTGCCCAGCCCAAGGTGTTATGAGGCAATTATAAAATCTAACAGGTGTCGGTGTCTTATTGATTATGATAGTGAGTTAAATAGTATCACTATAATAATTATAGGGCTAATGATAAACATTATATTACCTCAACACCATTTTAAAACCACTACAACAGTGGTCTCTAATAAAGCTTAAAAAGGGAGCCTTCTAGATCCTCAAAGCTCCTCTAGTACCTTCCCTGAAGAAACAGACACACGCACATGAAAAGCAGGCCAGGGTGCTGTGCATTGAACTCTAGGAAGAAAGGATTAGAATTCAGGCAGTAGGAAATGATGCAAATGGCTAGTCTGCTAGGACGAGACACTAAGGAAGAGGACAAAGTTCTGATAAAGTGAAGATAGGAGAAGTTCTATCTACAAATGCCAGCATGGTGACTCACAACCATGAGTTGGGTAAAGCAGCCAAGCTGAAGAAATGCAGCATGACTATTTATACAAACGTTAAAGGTATAAAACTTAATTATGAACAGCTTAAGTATTACTTCTCTCCAATACTTGGGACCTAAAGTGTTTTGAATTGTTATGGATTTTGGAAAGTTTATAAACAAAAAGACATTTTAAATATTAAAACTCTAAGTGAGAGCATAGTAAAGAAGCCACCAAAATGGATATCCCATGATTTGAGGGGAAGGTTTTTATTGTAAATAAGAAAGAAAGAACATCCAGAGGCAGCTGAAAGAGTCTAGAGCAAAGAGAAAAAAGCAGACTGGACATGACCTGAGCTATCAGCAAGAGAAGGGAGAATATTAGCAGAGAATATTAAGAAAGAGAATAACAAGGAGCAGGGGGAAACCTTGTCCTAGTAAAGGAGCAGGAAGTAACATGTAATATGGAACAGCCTGGGAGCTAGCATAGCTCAGGAGGAGAGGAGAAGGTGAGAAGGGCCAGGAGGCTAGTGTGGGCTTAGGATGTGTAGCGAGGACACGTAAACAGGGATGAAGGGAGTATGGAGGCTTTGGTATACTTGCCAATAGGGAGCCCTATGCTTCATCCCCAGAGGAGAGAGAGATAGGCAAGTGGCTCTTCCTATCTTTCATAGTTTCCTGAGGAAGGGTCAAATGTCCTCCAGAATCCTTTTCTGCCAGTGCTCAAGCTGTCAAATCAGACATAGGCCTGTCCTTTTGGGGTGCTTGGGGATTTCCTTCAGACCTAATAGAAAACAAGTCTAAAAAGGAAATTCATTTATACTTTATATATACCTAATATTCATATTCCAAATATTAGTGACTCCACATATTGGTCATGGCCATTGGATGAGTCAGAGCTGGAATTTTCCACTGTGGCATCATGACACTAAGAGTCTCAGGTTCTAGAAAAATTTCAAACTTTTAGTTTTCAGATACCAGATGCTACCTTTCTGAAGCTTCGGTTGCCTGTCTCCACGCAAGGCTGCAAGGAGCTGATAGATGCAGAGTGCTTAGCCATAGTGGCTGGTCCAAATGAGGCCTGAGGGAGATACTTCTTGTTGGTGTCTGCATAGAAACAGCATCAGCATAGTTGTCCCTCATAAAGCTAAGCAAGAAATGGTTTTACACTAAGAATAAGCCATGATTCCGTGGCTGGCAGGAGCCTGTTTAATTTGGATTTTCTATTACACCAAAACTTATATTTTATTTAGTAAAAGTGGCACCATAACACTTTCAAACTGCTTAAAATAAAAGATTGGCACTGTTGTTATTTAGTACCTAAGTTCTCAGAAAAGAAAAGCATATTCAGCATGAAGAGAGATTTGCTCTGATACTGTTATGTGATTCACACAGTAAACACTGGCGTGTGTCCAGAAAGGCTACTGGAAATTTGGCTTCTGAAGACTGACTTTTGGAAGGGAAAAAAAACCCAAAACACTTTTTATCCTTTTGTGCAGTAATAGAGATTAAAATCAAGGCTTTGGGGTTGATGCCCACAGCAAGCAACTGAACCCTGAGCTACACACTCAGCCTTAGTTCCTGTGTTCCTGTGCAGCCTTCCTGTGTTCCTGTGCAGCTCATGGTTGCTTTGAGCTCCCCAGCCCTTCTGCCTCATCCTCCTGAGTGCTGGAATTACAAGTGTGTGCCACCCCTGGACAAATGACATTTTAGTAGAAATCTATAATCAGCAACAAACACACTTAAAAGAGAAACATATTTATATCAGAAAACAGTTTTTCTTCCCCTTCTAACCATCCTCAAACCCGCTTTGTCCACACAGAGCCAAAGTTAAACAAACAATCAAAGAGATGGAAATGCCAGTTCTGAGCACTTGGACAGAAAGGAACAGTGTCCCCCAAATGCATCACTCTTCCACTCAGAACAGAACTGAGGCAGAGGATACCCCATTTACAAGTCAGAACAGAGGGCAATGTTGGGGGGGGAGCAGAAATGGGACCTCCAGGAATTTTGATTTATATGTTTTGCAAGTAGCCCCCAGATGAGGGTACACATACCTTTGACTGTGTTTGTAGTTTAACCCCTCTTGCCAACATTATCTGCAGCTGTTACCCCCATTTTAGTGCTAATTTGCTGGAAGTCTATGTGGGATTCATTCTTTAAGTTATCCAAACTCAAAGCCACCTAAAAACTGAGCCAAAAAAGCCACAGACAGAAGAGCTGGGTCGAGGGTGTGGGTGCAGAATGCTCCAAAATCCTTGAATGCAGACCAAAGAGAGGACGCAATGAGGAAACGTGCTTGCTGCACAAACCTGGTGATCGGAGTTCAGTCACTGAAACCCAAATAACCAACTCCTCAAAGTTGTCCTCTGCTTCCCACATAGGACACACACATACAAAACATAGAATCCTACATTGTGTCTTCCACCTGTGTCAGGGACCTCTCTGCTCCAGCCATATCCTCTTTTCTTCTTTTACATTCATGAATTCTGGATGCTATTTTGTGTTTCAGCATGCAGGAGACCCAAGGGATGATAGGGCTATTTGAGAGTGCCCCTAAGGGAATGCAAAGTAGAAGGTACTGAGCCCTGATGAAATAGCTTAGAAGCCATGCAGGAGATCCTGGGACCTATCAGAACCTACAGAGCCGGGAGCAGGAATGGAAAAGATGAAGTGGGACAGTAAGAGGATGAGGCAACAGGAGCCAGGCAAGGCCAGGGATATGCTCTGAACCTCTTGAAATGTGGTCCAGGAGCCAGGCACCCCTCCACCCCACTGGAACCCATGAGAAGAGTGTATTCCTTCCTGAGATAGCCCTCCTGGGATGGAGATCAGATCTAGTGTTCCTTTAAGAGATTCTGATCCTTGTGGAAGTTGCACATAGCTTTAGATAAATAAAATTTTTCCAGAAAAGGCACCCAGCTGCAGGCCACTGAGTCACACAGAGCAATATCATATACATGCTATAGCATATAGCGTACATAGCATATCCTAAAGATGGCTTCCTGGTGCCACCACCTCACAAAGAAGGCCTGACAATTTGTTCTTAGTCATTACTGATCCATTTTATTATTGATGCTTCCAAAAATAGAGCTTTGTTTCTAGAAGTCATAAGAAGCTACTGAAACTTTTCTATAAGGCCCATATGGAATGTTCAGTGCCAGAAAAACAGAGATGGGCAACTCAAAAATGCTGCCTACCCCAGAGGGAAAGTAAACACCTGCCTGGATATAGCTTACTGAGCCAGAGTTCTTACAAGGTGAATCATAAGAGCTTTTGAAGAGAGGTGACATTCGTACTTTACTTGGCTTATGTCGTGAGATACTAGATGCCCAGCCAAAGAAGGGAGGCCATCTAGGCCTCTGCAGATGCAACAAGAATGTCAACATGCTGGACAGAGTCAGCACTGACCAGCCTAGTCCCCAAACACTACATGTGGATAGAGATACAGGCTAACGGCACATTTCACTATGGAGACAAGGTCTCGGTCTTGTCCAAAAGAGAGTGTCATGTTCAGATGTGTCAACCCAATTTGCTGCTGGGTTGGAAGCTGTGACCATCTTTCTAGAATGCGGAGCTCCACCCAGAAACTATATTCCCTGAGCTGTGGTGGTCATGGCTACAAGAGGGCACTAGTGGCCGCAGAATGAGTCTGCCCTTAACCAGCAAGAGGCAACTCCTCTTCTCTCTGTCCTTTTTAGATTCCTCAACACTGGACACCTCAGTGTTGGCTTCATCTCCCCCAGGCCTACAGCAGAATGCCCGTTCAGGCTGCAAGGTGATGGAGCAATGCTGGGTCGCAGAGGAACATTCTTTAGGAGCATCAAGCCAAGACGGAGTTCTAGCATTCCTTTGAAGAGATTCTGATCGCCTTGGAAGTTGCACAACTGTCTGCCCATGCCAGGCTGCAGCTCTAGGATAAATAGCCATTAATTCAAGCATCTCGTCTGCCATTTCCTGAGTCATTATCTCCCCCTACTGGCCTGTTCATAAATCACCTTTCACTAACTGCCAGCACTTGACTGAGGCAGCCTTTTGAAGGCGCTCCTTTCCAGTGAGGCATAGGAAACAAGTTTGGCTGATCTCGAGGCAGGGGACACTCTGCCTCTCCCCTTGCTTGTTCTCTCCAAACCACCCTGCCTGGGACATTTTGCTCCATTCAGGACAAGGGGTGAATGAACAGCTTTAGCAGGGGGGAGGTGGTACCAGTGTAGAAGGAACTCAGAGTGATGGCCAAGAGAAGGCGCAGAAGGAGGAGTCTGGGACCCAGGAAATGAACTTGAGGTAGACCTAAGTGGACAGGGCTGTAAGGGCAGAAGGCAGGAGACAGAACCTGCAGTATACTGTGCCCAGCTGGAAAGATGGTTTTGCCCTGGACCATATTGCTCTTTTTTTCGGGTTTCTTTGCCAAGGGAACTCGCGCATGGTGTTCTGAAACCGACAAATTCTACATAGATAAGCCAGTCAGTGACCCTGACATAGTGAAGTTTGCTGTGAGTGCCTTCAACAAGCAGAGCAAGGACGATTATACCTACAGGCCGATACACATCATGAGTTTCTCAAAGGTACAGGTGAGTGACTGTGTCCACTACACTTGCTGTTTCCTGATGAAGCAGGAAGAACAGTTAGTCTTGGTTAGACATTTGTAGTCGTGGTTGAGTTACATATAACGAGTCTGCTGGTTTCAGTGGTGAGAATGCTTTTTAACTTACACATATTACGTCTACTCACATAGAGATTACAATCTGATATTATCGTGCTTTATAATAGTGATTAACTTACTAGAGAATAAACTTCAGATCAGGTATGGCAGTATACATCTGTAGTTCCAGCATTTTGGAAGCTACTATGTATTTATTATGCAGAAAAATGGGCTTCATTATGACATTTCATGAATGTACGTAGTGTGTTTTCACCTTCTTCACCTCCCATTACTCTCTCTTTTGTCCCCCTCCCATCCTTTTTTATTTCTTTTCTCCTCCCAAGCCATATGTACCTTGTCTTTTCTGTTGTTGTTGTTATTCAAATGAAGTTAGTTAGAGTTTCTTACAGAAACATGGTCAGTGATATTTAGAAGAGCATAAGTAACTTACAAACATTCAAAAATTAAAGTATCTGGAGGCTGGGAAGATGGTTCTGTCAGTAAAGTGCTCTCCACACAAACATGAGGACTGGCTTCGTACCCCAACATCCCATGTAAAGAGCCTGACTCAGGGATGTACGCCTGTAATCCTAGTGCAGGGAAAGCAGACACAGGACAATCTAGAGAGGGCATGTTGCTGACCAGCCTAGTCTAGCCCAGCTTTGGGTTCAGTGAGATCTCCTCAAGTAAGGTGCTGAGGAATACTCCTGGTGTCACTCTAGGCTCCATGCACACACACGTGCACACAAATAATTAGTAAAACTGAGAAAGTGAAAGGAAGAGAAACAAAGGGTAGGTGTTGAGGACTCACCAACTGTCAGGACAAGCTAACTGTCCTGATAGCCAGCTGCCAGCTCAGCTCCTCCTTTCAGTTCCTTCCTTGGGAATTGGCAGACTCATTCAGCCCACTGACCACATAAAACCATCTTCCTCAACCTAAAATGGCGATGGGATCTCCATGAATGTGCTCAGGATAGCAATGCTCATCTCCTAATGATACACTTATGGTCAGGCGCAGGAGGGGAGGTTTCTCCTTCCCCAACAGAGTAAAGGCAAAGGGGCTTGGACAGAGCTGAGACCTCTGGGAATCTCTGTAGAGTGCCTAGCTGGTCCTGTTGTCTGAGCCCTCTTAGGCTGGAAACTTACCTGCAGGCTGTGACTATGGTTTTGCTAGAGGCGGTTGGTCTTGGGGAAAGAAATGATGGAAAGGGTGAGAGACAAGGGAAATAATGAAGGAGATGCAGTGGAAAGAAGCAGGAGGAAGAGTTTTAGAGAACACACGATAAAAACTCATTCTAAATCTATCGTTCCAATCCTGTGTGCTGGTGCATAGTGATTGTAACAGTGTTTTGTTTTGTTTAATGTAGGTCAGGTGACAGTGGCGACAGCATACTGGTTTCATCTCTTTGGGCTAACTTATCAGCAGAGCCATTACCCTCCCAGAGATGCTCTGGGAGTGTAGACTGGTTCAGACGCCTGCTGATAGTGAAGCCCTGGTCTCATTTGGTAGAGCAGAATCTGAGGATCAGAAGTAGATGACATACTAATCATATGTAACTCAGGCTCTGATTTCTCCTAGCCTCTACCAAACTGCCTCCTCTGACTCTTAACTCTCCAAGGCAGAGACAATCCCCTTGACTTTCGCCTCCAAGAAGGGGATGCCAGGCCTCAGAGCAGCTGCAACCAGGCCTCTACCCACACTGAGCGCAGACATGAGAGCAGTCTGTGAATGGGCAGCAGTCAGGGTCTGCTCACATCAGTCTCTTCTTCTGTCTGTAGGAAAAACTACCAGAAACTTTCTTCATGAAGTTGAAGCTGATAAGAACCATCTGTACAAAATTTGAGGACAACCTAGACACCTGCCCCTTTCAGGACAGCCCTGGAATGGAAAAAGTAAGACAGAACTTGAGCACCCACCCTTTCACAGTTGAGTTCTTCGGGACAGATGGGGTGAAAGAACAAGTGACAGAGCCATGTTTCGGGATCCAAGGAGGGGCCAGTGGCAAACTTCCCAAATCCCTTTTTAAGCCTCAGTGGGGAAAGTCCTAAAAGGGTGCAAGCCACATAGTCCTGGCCAGCCTGTGTCCCCAGTTCTGCTCACTCCCAATAATAGCTGCCTGTCCTTTGGGCACCACATCTTCAGAATGCTCATGTCTTCTTTGGACAGAGTAGCAAATGCTCATTGTCTGATCTTCATCCTCCTCTCCTGCTGGCTTCAGGGGAAGGAGCTTACTGAATTCTGATGCTTTAGGGACCCTACACTGACACACAGCTTGAAGAGGGAGTGAGAGATGGGGCCCCACTGTCTTCCCACCAGGGCCTATGCCCTGTGGAAGCTTTAGCAGATATTCTAAGGGACAAGAAAAGGGGAAGCCCAATTCTAGAGACAACCTCACCCAGGGCTAGTAGACACCCATCAAGAATAATTAATAGCTTAACTTAGTAACTAATGCCTTAAATCTGATAGTAGTCAATACCTTCTGGGACAGAGCAGCCCCTGCTGTTCCTAGGAGCTTGCATCCTAGGACAGTCCAGAAGTTCGGAGGGGGGGCACATGTCGTGCAAGAACAATAACACAAATGTCTCTGGATCAAAAGGAAGCCCAGATGCAGAGAGCTCACCACTCAAACAGAGTTTAAGTTGGTGGTTACAGTTGTAGGCCAAACCCCTCTTCTTCCAATTGCTGGCCAAGAAAGGGATAAGGTTGAGTAGACAGTGGCCTGACCATAAACCACAAGTTTCCTGAGCCGCCTCCACCCCTGTCCCAATTTGCTTGTTTTCTTAGTTCAGCATCTGCTCCTTTATCATCAGCACCCCACGCTCAAAACAGTTCAACATGATGAAAATTGCTTGCACTTATGGGCTTCTCTGACTGTAATCCATCACAAGGATCTACCCACAGCTGTAGTCTGGGCCTGCTCCTTTTTCTGAAAATACCTGCCATTATAGAAATCATCAAGTACAGGATTAAGATCTGTAAGTGTCTGGGTTGTTTTTTGTTGTTGTCTTGTTTTGTTGGTTTTGTTTTGTTTTTGTCCTGACATTTTAGAATATTCTCTTTGTACAGATTCATTCTATCAATTATATCATTGAACATCAGCATGTAATAAATTATGTGAGATATGGGCCTGAGGGTGGAAGCTGAGCAACCTAATGGGGTTATCTCCACAAGATAGCCTGGTGGCCATTCTTCTAGACCTCGTGAGGTGTCCCAGATAGCACAATTAGGGTCCATCCAACCTGTGGTCTCATGACATGACCCATATGGCCATAGATAAAATGATTGTTACCACCACTACCTCCTTCCCCAGTCCCATCCCCTGGCCTCCACCAGGGCATCATATGTACTCTGCAGAAGAAGGCAAGCCCCAAGCTCCTCTCAGCACAGATGGTCTTTGATTTTGAGGAGATTCTTCATATATCTTTCTGCAAATCTGTGAAGTTGCTACATGACAGGAGGACTGTAGTTTCATTTTGGTCCAGAGCTCACTTTTTCCCTCGGAGTATCTGGGCACTGCAGCACACCAGGATGGGAATGATGAAGCAGAGCAGGTGGGTCTGCAGGATCCCAGTCTGGATGGGAGTGCTGGAGGGAGAAAACTTCTGAGGATTTAAGTGTTACAGGTTTTTTGGGCAATAGCAGCAGAGTCTGCTTCTTCCCTTTGCTTCTTCCCTTCGAGCTTGCAGGCTCTAGGCCCGAAGAAACAAAGCCTAGCCAGTCAGGCAGTGCCCAGAGGGAAAAAGTCTTCTCTGAGCAGCTCTTCAAGTGTTTTGTAGCCTTTCTAGCTCAGAGCTCTCCTAGATGATATTTGGTGAAATAGCTTATGTTCTATTCATGGTGAACAAAAGCTATATGAACCTTGGAAAGTAGAAAGGGATTCTCTGGGTGGGCACATATCATTGGCTGGGGCTGGGCTAATGGGGACCCTTTATTTGCATGGAGAGGAATTCCAGGTGCTAGGCTACTTGACTTATAGGAGTCAAGACTATGTGCATGCAGGCACAGAACAGAGAGGGAGCAATCCTTACTCCTGCTGGTCTCAAGATTGAGATTTTCAGGGTTTGGACACATCCACCCTCACTCTAGTTCCATGCCAATTTTCCCGGTGATACAGTCCACGTACCCCACAGCCTCAATGCCCAGGGAGTGATCCCCACACAAAGAACAGCAGCAACATCTCCTTGACACCATTTAGAAATAGAGCACTCTAGGAACTTCTCCTCTTAGAAGATTAGCCACAACTAATTATCTTTAGGGGCCACATTGTAGTTCATATTTGAGAAACACTGATGAAAAAAAGACTACTAAGTACTATTTGAGGTGCCTGGACCAGGGTCTAGCAAACACTCCAAAGAAGCCAGAAAATAACCTGTGACTTTTTGGGTTATCTGATCTCAATGCCAACTATCTCCATGTTGCCTTTGTTTCTTGGGAATCATAGATCATGTGGAAACAGATGAGAGCAGCAGTGTTTCAATAAGACTATTGAAACGTAGTAACTGGTGTGGCCTTCAGCCAGAGATACCCATCTCTGACACTGAGAGATTCTTATTGTACACTTGTGCCTCATGTTTGTAAGCACTGATCCCTTCTGAAACATCTGCACCACTCCCATCTGTGTCAGGGCTTAGCATCAAAAGAATACTGTCAGCAGGCCATTTATACAATGCAGGTGTAGAGTTAAAGTCTGGGGCCCGCACACCATCATAGTGAAGAAGGCAACTATTGGCCTGCCAACTTCAGGCCGCCCAATTCCAAAGAAAGTCTCCTATTAATTCACAAAGTTTTCTAGCAGGATAAGTCTCTATGAGCTGTACTCTGGACTCTAGAAAGAGACCTTCACACCGTCTACATTAAATAACATACTCTTTTCAGATAATAATTAAGATTCTTTTTTATGACTATGTCTTCACTATTTATCTACACCTACTGTTGTGGTTTGAATAAGAACAGCTTCCATAAGTTCATACATTTGAATGCTTAGTCACCAGGGAGTGAAACTCTTTTATAGACTTAGAACAATTAGGGGGTGGTGGCCTTGTTGAAGTAGGTGTGCCTTCTTGGAGGAAGTGTATCTCTAAAAGTCTCTCTCTCTCTCCCTTCTGCCTCTGCCTCTCCCTCTGCCTCTCTGCCTCCTCTGCCTCTGCCTCTTTGCCTCCTATGCCTCTGCTTTCTCTGCCTCCTCTGCCTCCTCTGCCTCCTCCTGCCTCCTCCTGACTCCTCCTGCCTCCTGCCTCTGCCTCTGCCTCTGCCTCTGCCTCTGCCTCTGCCTCTGCCTCTGCCTCTGCCTCTGCTTGTGGATAGGATGTAGTTCTCAACTACTTCTCCAGCACCATTCTTTCCTTGCCTCTTGCTATGTTTCCCACTATGATAATAACAGGCTAAGCCTCTGAAACTGCAGGGAGCCCCAATTAAATGCTTTCTTGTGTGAGAATTGCTGTGATTGTGGTATCTCTTCACAGCAAGAGAACAGTGACTAAGACACCTACTAATGAATTTTAGAAAGACTAGATTCCCCTAGATGCTTATTATAATCCAATGTTTATCCTTCCCCACTCCCAGGCTACTGACCTAGCAGCATAACAAGAGCCAGAAATTTTTCATTTCTCATCAGCAACTAGAAACAGTGATCTCTCCACTCCATGAGCCATGTTGAGTAGCTCAGATTCAGGGATCACCTTGGGGTAGATGCAGACCACACCATAAGTAGGAGTCACTCATCTGGAAAGGCGCCAGGCAGAGCTTCCGAAGGTTCTAGATGGATAAGAATAAGAACAACTTACCTAATAATAAAGACAATGGGTGGGTGGGGGGTTCTTATCCAGCAGAGTGGTGTCTCTAGACAGGAGAGATGCTGGTTTGAAATCAAACACCCTGTTTTCTTGATGGCACTTACATTTGAGAGAGCCCTAGAGCTGCAGTTCTCAAGGCCCATTGTATACATAGTCAATGACCCAACACTGACAATTTGGGGTTTTCTAGTTTTTGCTATCATAAATTATGGTTTGTTGGATATGTCTTCTTACATCTGCTTGTGTATATATTAGATTATTATCTCCTTTATCATGACCCTAGATGGAAAATTGTTATCAACACTCCCTCCTCCCAAGGCTCAGAGACCACCACAGAAAAGGGGGTAGAGAGATTTTTTTTTAAGCCAGTGTGGTAGAAGACTGCAGCAAAATCATGTTTTTTGGATGTGGCAGGACCATTATACCTATGAACTTACTGCAGCTGTGACTGCATGCACAAGATCAAGTAGCCAAGATCCTAGCATGAGTGAAGGCCAAGTTCATGAAGCCCCACTCATAGCTAAAAAGCCACTGGTAACTGATGGCTGCTTGGGGAAGTAGAGTCAGTTTTCTTCAGGGAAGCAGCCCTGTGAGGCTGTCCATGCTCACGTAGGTGGTCTTACATCCATGCACATACTTGCAGCACTAAGTGGACTATGTGGATTTTTTAAAAGAGCACATGAAATTGGGAGATTAAAATAGGGGTGAAGGTGAAAGAGGAATTAGAAGGGGAGGCACAGGGGTGTACTTAATCAAGTACACATTAGATGTCTGCATGAGAGTCTCAAACTTTTTAAAAAAGTCTTTAAAGAAGGTTGACCGGAATGCCAAACCCAGAATTTTTTAATTTGTTTATTGTTTTTTTAAAATTACAGTTTATTCACTTTGTATCTGAGCTGTAGCTCCTTCCCTAGTTCCCTCCCAATCTCACCCTCCCTCCCTCATGTCCTCTCATGCCCCTCCCCAAGTCCACTGATAGGAGATGTCCTCCTTCCCTTCCCTTTGATCCTAGTCTATCACTTCTCATCAAGAGTGGCTACATTGTCTTCTTTTGTGGCCTGGTAAGGCTGCACCCCAACTCAGAGTGATCAAAGACCAGGCCACTGAATTCATGTCAGAAACAATCCCTGTTCCCATTACTAGGGAACCCACTTGGACACTGAGCTGCCACGGAATTCTTTCACAAGCAAACTGAAACTTTACTCAGGTCCATTTATTTTCTCACAATCACAAATCTCTAGCCAGCCAACTCATTATGTAACTAAGGATTTCTTTTATGCCACATCCAATAAAGCAAAACCCCTAGGGGCTGAGGATGTAGCTTGTTTGGTAGAGTGATGGCCCAGCCTGCATGAAACCCTGGGTTCAATCCCCAGTACGATATAAGCCAGTTATAATGGCTATCCCAGCAATTTCGAGATTGATACAGGATAATCAGAAGTTCAAGGCCATTCTCAGTTACACAGTGAGTTCAAAACCAGCCTAAGCTATATGTGTTCCTGTGTCCAAAAAGAAAGAAAGAAAGAAATCCATCTTCTAAACATATAGAATAATGTCCATCGGCAACTACACTCTCATCCCTAATCAGAGAAGTCTCTCTTTTTCAGTGAACTGCAATGAAGACAGAGTTTTATGGCTTCACATGGCACTGAGAAAAAGTGTGAGCTGAGTGTTCAGCCCTAAGCAAGTAACCCTACCTGGCTCCAGTGCATAGTTCCAATCCAGTGGTCACACAGATGGTCCCAGTTTAACTAAATGGTCCTACAACAAAACCAAGAGCCATGAAAGGGATGGGTAGGAATGAGAGGAGATGGTAGGAGTGGAAAGAAGATAAGAAAGAGAGAGAGTGGAGTGAAAATAATCAAAATGTCTTATAAATATGTATGAAATTGCCAAATAAGTAACTTAATAAAATGATTTTAAATATAAAAAGAAAAATTTATGGTTTTAAAATATTTGTATTTTAAGTAATAATTATAACCAATAAAAAACAACATAATCGCAAATTAAAACATGCACTTACAGGCTGGGTGCGGTAGCAAACGCCTTTAATCGCAGCACTGAGGAGGCAGAGGCAGGTAGAACACTGAGTTTGAAGCCAGCCTGCTCTACAGAGTGAGTTCCAGGGCAACAGGGCTCTGCAGAGAAACTCTGTCTCAAAAAAAAAAAAAAAAAAAATTAAA